CTCACCTTGCGGTCCGCATCTTCCTAAGCCGTCTGGGCACTGCCGTTTGGCGGCAGAACTGGGGCCCTCTTAGTTTCTCCGTTTAACGTGAAGTGGAGATGCTGTGTGCAAGCTGGAGGTGTGGAGGAGTCAAAGTTTTGCCTCTTCTCGGTGGTTTTTCCTCTAAGGTGTATCTCCAGCGTCTCTCCAAGATTTTAGTTTAGGAGGCACGGTTTCTGCTTCTTCCCTCTAGCTGCCATCTTGGAATCCCCCTAAGCTTTTTTTTTTTTTTGCCTCATAAGGAAACGTATTTGTCAGAAACTGCATGTTTTTTTTTTTTTTTTTACAGTCTGAGCTGCCGTCAGCACAAATTATAATGACTTTTGTTACTTGCTGGATATTGTGCTAAGTACTTTGCTTTCCACATGAGATAGGTGTATTGTTATTCCTGTTCTATAGATAGCAAACTGGGTCCCAGACAGACTGACTGCTTAGGCTGGAGCTGGGAGGTGGCTGGGCTGAAGGACAGAGCCAAGACAGCTGTCATTCAGCTCTGGACTCTGCTCCTCAGCCACTGAAAGTGGTGCTTTCTCAGTGAGCTATTAGGGGTTCACCCAGAAGTCAGAATCAAGTTCTGATTGAGCACTACTGATGAGTTTTTAAAAGGTATCATATTTCACTGAGGGAAAAACTATAATGAGAGAATTTAGGGGCTTTGTTACGTATCACACACATTTTAATGCCCGAGAACATTCAGTCACACAGCACGTGATTTGGTTGAAAGTCTGGGGAAGAGGTTTAAAAATACAATATTAACATTCTAAAAGAGTGTGATTTGAGATACCAGTGTATTTTCAGTTTAATGCAAAAAATGTGTTTTGGAAGTTACGAATACTTAAAATAGTCTTCCAGGGAGTCTGATAGTACTTAAGAGACCTGAAAGGTAATATGCCTAGATTATAGGCAGCTTGAAGCTTATTTGGAAACTATGTATATCGGTCTCCCTTAGTTCCTTCTAATGCAGTGACTAGTTCCTGTGAGCAAAGGATGAAGGGGGTTAAGGAGAGTGCTTTTCCCTGATCTCAACCTGTGCAGAGACAGAAATCAAAACGTAGTGGGCCATCCACTCACAGTGCAGTGGGAGCCAGTCTGCTTTCCCAGTTACAGTTTGCCTTATCTATAATGAGAAACCTCTCTTTGGAGGACTTGAAATTAACTTTCTGATGGAGGGAGGGAATGCAGGTTTCTGAAGACCATGCATAGCTACATGACCAGTGCTGTTGAGGTGAGACTCAAAGCTCTGCCCTACCCTCACCAGTTCATCAATAATGCAACTTTTTCCTAGAACTCACCACCCTTTCTAGTTCTCTGTGAACAAACCCAGTTTCACGTATCAAATCACAAAGACAGAAAGGTTAGGGCCTCTTTCCACTTGTTCTAATTATGACCAAAATTGTGGAAGTCAGTGAAAGGAAACTAGCAGTCCCTAGATTTTGTCAGAGCAGAGAAGGGCCAGCCCCGAAGCCCTTGTCTTCTACTTACTGACAGTGCAGAGGGAGGGAGCTCTAAAGCAATGTTTTCCCTGCAGTGAGTCACTCCAGGACTGGGGAGGAGGGGAGAGGAAGCTGAGTGAGATAAGAGAACTCAGCAATGTGTTAGTAGTTGTGTGTGATTGCACAGTGATTGTGAACATCGGTAAATGAGGCTTTGCTGTTTACCCATTGGTCAGACTTCTGTTTTGAGTTTAAGCTCTTTCCACTGCATTTTCATTCTGTTTTGACTAAAATTAACTTGTAGGATTGTCACCTTGGTGTTGAGTGTTGAAATATCTGATGTGGATGAGTGAGCATAATATGATTTAAAAATACTGTTTAGTGATGTGATCTTGACTTTGGCCAGTAATTTGATGCCATAAATTTCTGATTCTTGGCTGAGTGTTTGAGGTAATGGATCTCCTGTGGGCAGTGGGTGACAGAACTCACTGTCCTCAAGCCAGAACTCCTACATTCTGCCAGTGGACCCAGGATGCCCAAGCCCCTCTGGTCCTTGCTGGGAAGTAGATGCTTGAAAAGCACTGGATCCAGACTGTCTCTTCTTGGAGTCAGAGGATGGAAGTCACTGCAGCTGCCCCCCATCAGTGTGGGGCAGGGAATCTGAGGACCTACTCCCCAGGCTCCCCAGGACATCATCACCAATCCAGATAACCAATACAACCTTCTGGTGAGCACCCAAAGTGCCAGACTCTGGAGGCCAAAACTTGAACCTTATTCAGGCTGTCCCCCATGCTCCCCCTCCCTGACCCAGGCCTGGTGCCACCCCACACTTGACATCACCAGCCACCCTTTCACAAGCCCACATATATTGATAGCTCCACTATTTCTGAGCTGGGTGGGCCTTATGGCTCTGATGGTCCAGTCCTTGTTGGACTGTCCCTGACAGGTGGCCACTGTCCTGCTGATGGAATCTATCAAGGTATTAGAGTTAGCATGGTAAGTCTGCTCAGTTATTTGTGTAAACAAAACTAACATACCTGTCAGTGCCCATGACTTAATTATTTGAAGAGAACTCTCATTTGTCATCACACTTTAAAGGTTAGAAATGATTTTTCATGATTTTAGATAGGTATTACTTTAGTTTTTCTATTTTTAAGCTAAAATATAAAAATACCTGTTTTTCATTTGAATTTTTTAGATTCTAAATCTAAGCAATTTCTTTTGTCTTTTACAAATAATTAGCTTGTTTCAGGTGGGTTACTGCCCCTTTCAGCGTCTTAGTAGAATAGGCTTGCTCTTTGGGTTTCACTCTTCTCAACATAAATTATCTTAAAGAGTTTTTTTGTATTGGTCTGCTTGAACTTACCCCCCTACAGGAAGTGTAGTTTAGTGCACATCCAAACAGCTTAAGAGGAAACTCTGTCCACTGAGAAAGGGGCTTTAACTCAGGCACAGAATTGTTAGTTTGCCTGGGTCTGAGACCCCTGCAACCATTCAGACCATCTCACAAACCAAAGGATAGGCTTTGTCACCCCAAAAACAACATTTAAACATTTTTTAAAAAAATGCAGCCCCTGTGATTGCTAATTTATTGTTCTCAGGGATGTTTTTGGTTTTGTTGCTTTTTGTGTGGTACCAGCCTTGAATCTGAGGCTTTGTCCTTGCTAGACAGGCACTTGCCCACTGGAGCTATGCCTCCAGTTCCAGAAAGTTTTGAAATTCCTTAAAAACGTGTAGCAGCCAGGCATGGCAGCTCATAATCTGTAATTTGGGCGCTCAGGAAGCTGAGGCAGGAGGATCTCCATTGTGAGATCAGCCTGGGCTACACAGGGAGACCCTGTCTCAGAAAACCAAACAAAAGCATGTTTGAAAGCACTTTTGTATAGGTTGAGTATATACTTTCTTGGAAATGTTTAGGACCAGAAGCTGTTCAGGTTTTGGAGTTTTTCAGATACTGGAATGGTGACCATGGACTTTTCCCATTGAATATCCGTAATCCAAAAGTTTGACATCTGAATGAAACTTTGAGTGCTAATGGCTCAGTCATTTTAGATTTTCAAATTCAAAATGTCCTGACTAAACATGGAATGCTCATGCCCTGCCTTATAAATAGAGCACTTCAGTTACGTGGTAGATGGCAGTGTCATTTTTGGTAGATGTGCACATGTGATCACGACTACCAAAAGCTCCATCGCAAAGGCTTAGGAAAAGCATTTGACCACGGCTGAGTGTGTCACAGGTGTTGTCTCTTTAGTAGCACTTGCTGCTTTGCTTGTGTCTGAGTTGAGGTTCTTTGCTGGAGTGGAAACCAGTGCATCTCTTTTCTCAGACTTTGGTGTGGTGAGGATTTCCTTGGTTCCGCCCAAAGTAGCAAACATCAGCTGCAGCATGCGTTGTCTTTTCTGTTCCATAGCTTTGAATAGGTTATTCATACTTGTGTTTTATAATGATGCAATATTTGTGTTTTAAACCTAATTTTTAAAAATGATTTTTAGTTAGCCAGTGGGCTTGTAGGCTTATGGGCTTGTGGTTTATGGAAGCGTTTGTCTCTGTGATAGTCTTACAGTTCCTCCAAAGAAACAGGCTTTTAAAGGAGCCCAAGGGCATGTGGAGTCTGAATAGGCATTCCAAGAGTATAAAAAGAAGATACATTAAGTGATGAACAAGACACTACAGATTAATTTTATGAAGAAGAAGTATGACTGTTAGAATTTGAGAAATACCGTTAGAAGATGAGGTAACACAAGATTAAAATTGACTATTTTGATGATAATTTAATAGTTACTTATTTTTAAAGCAAAATTGTTTTAGATATTGTTTCATATATAAATATGGTGGCTTTAAAAATCTCCATACTTGAAAGGCTAGCTGGAAAATGTAGAGTTCTGCTAGGAACATGTAGTTATAGAAAAATGTTAATTTATAAGAGTTAAACTTTTTCTTACCCAACAGAATCTAAATGTGTAGTATTTCTTTTATAGTAACTTGGCTTTTTAAACATTTGCACTTTTCTGTTGTGTTAGAAGTTGCTGATTTTTGTTATGGTACAAATTGAATTTATGCTTTTTGAAGTAAAGCAGTTCATAGTTGAGTGTATGCTGTGTTAAGTAGGTAGCCAAAAATTAGCATCTTTGAGAAGATAAATGTCATGAGTGTTCAGAGTAGACAGTAGTCTTTTGGATTCATGGGAAAGAAGGTTGGTAATTGGGGTTTCAGTAAACTTAAACAATTCTCAAGGTGTGCTAATAATACTAAACCATTTATTAATCTCTTGATGCATATTGAGTTTTGACTGTTGCATTATGACGAATCACTTACTTTATAAAATATCATTTACACATGTGGATTTGTATGTGTATATTTATGTCTCTCTAAACATGCATACAGAGAGAGGGAGGGCAGGGCAGGTTGACCATAGGAGATAAGTTACTTGATATTTTCAGAGGATAGCTTAGAATCATGTCTGCATTTCTGAAGATTACAGGATGCTTTTCTGTCTTTCACCGTTTTCCCTTTGTTGTTCTTTAGGGCCCTCCAGAATTTCCACAGCACACACCTGGACCTGTTCCCAACAGTTTTAGCCAGCCCCCACGACTTCCTCTCCAGGACCAGTGGAGAGCCCCACCCCCACCCCAGGAGCGAGACCCTTTCTTCTTGGGAGGTACACGAAGGATGACTGGCACAGGGTGACATGACAGAAGCAGTTATTATGCAAACTGAAGTTTTTAACACTCCACAGAAAAATTGTTAATATGGCAGGGGTTTGTACCATTTTGTTTCTACCTATCATTTCACATTCTAAAGCTGGACTTTTTTGGTATCTGAAATGTGAGAATCTTACACAAAGGGGGAAATTGCTTATAGAAAATGATTTACAAAGCAATCTAGAAATAGGAGGCAAAATCTAGAATTTTTTCTAAACATACTCTTGCAAAATGTGTAATTTTTGGTTACAGGAAGATAGTTCCCCAAATTGTTTATCTAAGAAGTCTGTGTTTTTTCTAACCTGAAGTTCATGTGTTGCTGTTCAGTTTCAGGTGAACCAAGGTTCCCCAGTCATCTCTTCTTGGAACAGAGAAGCCCCCCTCCACCACCACCTCCCCCTACACTGCTGAATAGCAGCCACCCTGTTCCTGCTCAGAGCCCCTTACCGTTCACTCAGCCTGGACCAGCGTTCAATCAGCAAGGACAACAGCCAGTATTCCCTAGGGAGAGGCCTGTAAGACCAGCCCTGCAGCCCCCAGGTCCAGTGGGGATCCTGCACTTTAGCCAGCCAGGGTCAGCAGCCACCCGGCCTTTCATTCCTCCTAGACAGCCGTTCCTGCCTAGCCCGGGACAGCCGTTCCTGCCCACACATGCTCAACCTAACCTGCAGGTGTGTCCTGTGAGCCAGTCCTGAGGGAAACTCTGTGTGTGTCTGGGTCTTTGTCTTGCATTACAGTGAAGTTTCAGATTTTCATTCTAGTTTGTGGTTAAAGAATAAGGGTATTGGTCTTAAAATTAGCTTTACTACAGAAAAACATTCTTGATGATACTGTTACCTCCTAAATATTAGGAGAGATGGAAGAAGTGATTGTCATTTGGGGGGAGTTGAAAAATGTCATTATTCAGAATTTTTAAAGGATGCACTACTAATGAAATCATGACATGTCTTGATAATGTATTTGCTTGCCTTTGTAAGCTGTAAAAGGTTTACCTGTGTAAATAAAGTACTTGGTCAAATTATGTTCTTCCACTAGGTAGCAAAAAGGTCCTTTTTGGGGAAGGAAACTGTTTTCTGTTCCTTGGGATTTGTCAGACTTGCATGTCCTCTGCTGGTAGGTGTGTGTTTTGTGGGCTGGCATGAGTGTTTGTGACATTTTTCTTACTCAGTATACTACTGTTTGTATTTTAAGTTTGCTATTAAAGTATATAGCTATGGTGCTCTTGTCAGCTCTTTAGAAACACATAGGACATGTATCTAAGACAAAAAAAGGAAATGACTGTAGTGTAGACTGTAGTGTCAATGAAGGATTGAATTTTTTTTAAGTTTTTTTTCTTCTTATAAAAAAATACAATTAGTTAATCTCCATTGCAGAAATACTGCAATATAGATAAGTTTAAGAAAAGGAAATTAGTGCCTAGAAGTAGTCGCCATGAACATTTGGGTGTATTTTTTCAGTTCTTTGTTAAAGCAGTGTGTCCTCAACCCCATGCTCTTCTCCCCAGTTGACATGTCACTGAGCCCTATCAAGCACACTGTGCAGGGCTGCCTTTCACACTGATGCAGAGGTTGCCTGTCGATGTTGATTCAGGAACTCTGGTGGCATAGTGCCATCGGGAGCAGACTTGAGATTATGCGTTTACTCACGTCCTTACTTACTTCCTTTAATAGATTCTTTCTGGATAGAAGAGACTAGCGTTTGAGGTAGTGTAATTTTCAGCAAGAAATCCAAAGCAGCGTTGTAGTGTCGCACAGTTTTGGTCTTGTGTTGGACTGCAGTATAGTATATGTAGTACATCTGGTTGTGAACGTTGTTTCTTTCTTTTGGAATGGAAGGGGCCATTGCATCCTCCATTACCGCCGCCTCATCAGCCACAGCCGCAGCAGCCCCAGCAGCAACCCCCGCACCACCAGCACCAGCCCCCGCACCACCAGCACCAGCCTCCGCTGCAGCCTCCACTCCAGCCCCCACATCAGCCTCCTCCCCAGCACCAGCCTCCCCCCCAGCACCAGCCACAACACCAGCCGCAGCAGCACCAGCACCACCACCACCTTTCCGCCCCTCCTCCTCTGATGCCCATGTCTCAGCCACAGTTTCGGCCACATGTGCAGACTGCTCAGCCACAGCCCAGCAGCAGTCGGATGCAGTGCGCCCCACGCCAGGGGCTGCGACACGTGAGTATCACATGATGTCTGTCTTCCCCGTGGCTTCCTTGGGAACCTTTTAACTTGCAGAACCTGAAGGGTGCGATTTCTAAGTTATATTATTTTCCAGTTTTTATTTAAATTTATATGTCATGCATTTTCTGAAGTGAAAGTAAGTCTAGAAAAAAAAGACTCTGGAAATTGTTTTCTTGACTACAGAAATTAATGACTTACCCCTTTTGTGTCTTAAACACTGTTAATGTTTACTTCAGCATCTTTCATCTAGATATTTCTATAATGACAGCTATTAATTAATACACACATAACTTAAGATACTTTGGGGTGATACTCTACCCTTGTAGGTGGCTTATTTTTTTTGACATAGTAAATTATCTTGACTCTCTGGGCTCTGAATCAGTAAGCATAGGAATTCAGGAAACTATGCTGACTGTATTCTCATAGGTACCCTCAGGGTCCTGGGAACACAGCAGCAACAGAGTCCTGCCTACAAGGAGCTTATATTCAGTTGTGGGAGAATAACTCGCATTTATTTGTGGTGTTATAGTCTCAAGTACTATCAGCAAATGTGTGGCTTGTAATGCATTGAAAAGAACTAGGAAATAACATATAACTTGAAGGTAAAAGTCAGGAGTCATTGCCGTGTCTTCAATTAAATAACATTTCATTTTCAGAGAGGACAACAACAACAAAAAAGCAGTTTAGTATGGCTAATGCTCAGAGATCTGTAAGGTGTCTTTTTAATACTCTTTTACCCTTGAACTTGAAGCATGTCTGTGAGCTACTTAAGACCTGAATTTTCCTAATACTTGCCTATTTCTATCTTAAGTAATGTTGTGACTAAAAGATGTAAGCAATAAGAAAGAATTTCTAGATAGGGAGAAGTAAGTGTCAGAAGCCTTGTGTCTTTGAAGAGAGATCTTCAGGGCTTGGAGCTCAACCCCAGACTGTCTCGTGCACTCCTGACCTCTTGAGGTGCTGGTTCTGTGCCAGGTGTCCCCAGTATGAAAGTGACTTAGAATCTTCACTTGGACAGCATTTTGTGGGGCCTTTCTCCTCCAGAGAGCTTTTGTAGGACCTTGACTTAGTTCTTGGTTCCTCTCCTGTTCTCCTTAAATTTAGGTCACTAAGTAGAAGTGGTACGCTGTTGATCTGGTTGATTTCTTTGAGGCAAGCAGAGTGCCTTATGTCCCCGAGAGTTGTGTTAAAAATGTTAGTCCCCATACTGAAGCTGCACAGAAAATTGAGTGGTGTGAGTCCTGTAACCAGGCGTCTGTCTATAGGTAAATACAGTACTTTACCAATTCAAGTCCTTAGCATCAGGGTACCCAGCAGCATTTATGCATTTCAAAAAAATATTTGCAAAGGAAAAAAAAGTTTCCCCCAAAAGAGAAGTCAGAAACTAAAGAGAATGATCTGTGCTACTTTTACTTCATGATGCATCTTGTTTTGTTCCTCCCAGCAAGTCTCCAGTTGTAATCAGAATTTCTTTCTTTTTGTGTTAGAATGCGACATCTCAAAATGTAACCAAACGGCCCATGCAGCAGATGCAACCTACTGCTCCCAGAAACAGTAATCTTCGTGAATTACCCATAGCGCCATCACACGTTCTGGAAATGAGTGGCAGCCGCTGCTCCTCCACGCCTGCAGCTCAGGTGAAACCCATCGTCAGCACATCCCCACCCACGAGGGCTGTGGTGACTTCCAGGAGCTCACAGGGAAAGACCGAAATGAAAGTCAAGCCGGTTAGTCCTGTGGCTCAACCTCAGGAAGAAGCAAAAGCAGAACCAGAGGTAGGAGTTTTCCTCATTAAAAGGCAATAGTCTCAAACAGGAAGCTACATACTGCCAACTCGTACCCAGTGAGCCAGTCACAGACGCCTCCCCTCTTCTCAAGTGGGTCCTCCTTTTAGTCTGCCAGCTGTGTTCATAAGAGGAATACTGTATTCCCACGGTTTACAACATCAGACTATATATGTTTGCACAGTTGTTGTATTAATAGAGAATCAACATATTATGCCAGGGCTTAGAAGTTTTCTCCTTCAAGGACTAAATTTCAGTTCTTGTAGTTTAAACCGTTATAATTATTCAACTCTGCCATTGGAGCACAAGGCAGTTTATAAACAGTTCTCACATGAGAAGATACGCCCATGTTACAGAACTGGATAGCAGGCCAGAGTTGGTTGTGGGCTGTGGTTTGGCGGTCCCTCATGTGCACTGTTAGGTTTCTGTGACTTTGTTTTTGTTTCACGTTGTAGACTCCTGGAAGGTAGGACCACTTTTACTGTTGAGCTTCAAGATTTTGAGGGGTTTGGTTTGGTGTGAATATAATTATGTATATGTTATTGCTAGTTTTAAAACACATGCACAGTGTTGTAAGTAGAAATTGAAAATACAAGTAAGTATTTTACATGGTTTTTAATTTGAAGTCCTTGTCTGTCATAAACCTCAACATTCTTATGTATTGAATGAAGATAAAACGAGGCAGGGTATGTGGCTGGGACTTGATTAGAGGCCAGTACCCAGAACTCACGCCAGTATTAATCAAATGCATGTAGAATGGCATGAGGCGGCATGATGGATTAGCTTTCAGTGTAGTAATGATGGTTTGGAGCATTTCCTTAGATAAGAATCTAGGCAAGTCGTACTTATTTCGTTTTATGAAAATTAGTTATCACTGCTTTTATCTTTCAGTTGGTTAAGTTTTTTTCATTCAGATTTTCTTAACAGTTGTGATGTAATGTTACCAAATCAGAATTGTAAACATCAAGCCCCAAAATACTGAGATACCATTTAATAACCTCCTACTGGAATAAAGGTGACTTTTGGCTTGATAATCAATATATGGAAAAAATAATACAGCTTTACTAACTGGATTGGATGGTTCATAAAGAAGTCTCTGCTAAAAATTTGATATGTCTTTAGTTTATATAGCTAGTTGTAACTCCTGTACTTTGGCTGATTTTGTTCAGAAAACTTAAGTCACAGACACATTTCTTATATAACAGCAGCTAAATGGTAATGAAGAAAGGACCTTTCAGGCATATCAGCAGCCACTTCTGCTCTTTCCGTGCTAGTTCATTGAGGTAGATTTCTAAAGAGTTCTCCTGTAGATTACTTTAAACAGAGTTTTTGAATGTGAAAGGGAACTTTTACATGTTGCCATGGTATGAGTCTAGTGTCTTAATTTGTTTTATTTTAATATTCTGTATACACAAATGGAACCAGGATTATACTTTCTAATTTTTTTAAAGAAATGTCTTCTATTTGTTTTGCTTATCGAAACGTGGCTTGCTCTCTTATACTCATTGTAATAATGATACAGTGAGGGATGATTCTGTCTTGATGGAAGTCTTTAAAGTATTTGCCTATATTTCTGAACATACTTTAATTCTTTCTTGTTTGTTTGAGAAAAAAGCTAGCAATAGTAATTATTTCTGTTTAGAGGCAGTGCATCTAAGGTCCCGTTAGCCTGTCCACAGCTCTGCATGCTGTCTGCGCCCCTCTGCTGTTGAACTGTTCCTGTCTTCTCCCTCAGTGTCAATTCTTGCCCACTGTGCTACCCTCCCCCTGCTTCAGACGCTGTGTTTGAAATCTGCCCTAGACTTTAAATTGGATGACTAAGTCCATCAGGATTGCCTCAGGGCTAACCAGCACATACATATCCCACTGACTGCCCTGTGCTCTTACTTATAACTCCCCATTGATAAGGTTCATTCAGATTTTAAGACTTGTAAATAGGTGAATTCTAGGTAGAGTAAATAAATCTGTTACTTTTTATTTTTTTGGTAAAGGACCTGTGTTTAGGTGATTTAAATAAAACTATTTTTTTGGACACTTAGCTTTTTATAAACTTTCCTCACTGGGTGGTTTCTAAAGAATTCTTTTTATAAGACTTTCAGAGTGGTTTGGGACTGGAATATTCAGGACATTCCTTATATACCATTAATATTCCAATACTGCAATTGGCAACATTTTGATTCTGAGGAGGGTGCATTGAGTTCAAGGTCAGAGAGATTGGCTTGTGCTGTTCATTATAACCAATTATTCTGTGACAGATGAGTTTGAGATCAGGCTGAAAATTCCACCCAAAAATCAATAGTTCTAATCAGGGCCTTTCAGGTCATTTACACCCCACCTTTTGTTGGTTTGTCAGGGAAGAGCCAGATAAAACCCGTGTGACAGCAGGTCCTCTCGCTACTGTTGCCATTCCCATTCGAAACATATTTTGATATCTTTAATGAATAGTTCAATTGGTTTCAAACTCATAAATGAGTGGAAATCTTCATTATTTCATTTCTAATATTCTGATAAGACTTTCCAAATTAGCTTTAGCTGTGTAATACTTTCCCCCTCCCTAGAGGGAGGAGTTATACTCAGTCTTTAAGCAGATTTTGAATGCCTTCTTTCAAACACTAAATTGAAAGGTTTTGGGGATGCATTTGCTTAGTTTGTCGAAATAGATTGGAATGGTCACCTTACCATATATAGCCAAGTAAACTGTGCATTTTCTGTTTTAGTTTCCTGATGAAGATGAAGAGACAAGGCTGTATCGCTTAAAGATAGAAGAGCAGAAGCGCCTACGAGAAGAAATCCTGAAACAGAAGGAGTTACGCCGGCAGCAGCAGGCTGGTGCCAGAAAGAAGGAACTGCTGGAAAGACTTGCTCAGCAGCAGCAGCAGCTCTATGCTGCGCAAGCTCCGCTGGAGCAAGAGGAGCAGGCGGCCGCACCCTCCCCTACCAATGGCAACCCACTGCTCCCCTTTCCAGGTGCACAGGGCAGGCAGAATGTGAAAAACAGACTTCTTGTTAAAAACCAAGATGTGGCTGTTGCAAATATTCCGCCCAAAACATCAAACTTTGTCCCATGTGGTGCTAATGTGCAGTATCAAGGACAGCAGGTGAAACCACTAAAGCATTTGAGACCAGCCAGGACAGTACCTCAAAGTCAAGCTCAGTCGCTGCACAAAGTACTCCAGATCAAGCCTGCAGATATGCAGGAGCCCCCACCCTCTCCACAGGCAGCCCGAGCAGCGGCCCTCCAGGGCCGGCCTCAGGACATAAAGCCCGGAGTGAAGAGGACTGTCATGCACCGGGCCAGCGGAGGTGGTGGAGATGGGCCGCATGTCAACTCCAAAGTCAGGGTGATTAAGTTGTCAGGAGGGGTAAGTAGACAAGTTTTATGTGCACCTCTTCAGATCCCTTCTCAGAAAGAGTTAAAAATGATCTCTGTGACAACCTCTAGACCTTTCTTTACCTGCTGGAAGTTGGTGTAAGAATTGTCATTTAAATTCTGCTTCCATGTGGGACCCACGTTGTTTATGTTGTCTCTTGAGTCACAATGAAAGACCAGTGTGACATCCGCAATTACACATTTCTCAGTTTTAGCTGCTTTATGTAGATAATTTGTGATAAATACATGATACTGAATTCAACAAATTTGAACCAGTTTGTTATAGACAAACTTAAACCATCAAGTTTGTTGTAGCAATAAAATTTCCTTTTACACAAAACAATTTCTTCTGTATACCTTTAGATTCAGTGAGCACCTGTGAGCAGAGAAGGGAGCTGTGTGTGTGTGTGTGTGTGTGTGTGTGTGTGTATGTACACGCTTGCTTGCGTCTGTCTGTCTCCACTTTCAGGCAGCATCATCCAGAGACTTTTGCCTGCTTCTGTCTTCAAGACTTGCTCCATTTTATCCTAAAGGAGTAACAGAAGTCTTCATTGAAATCACATCTGATCTGACTGCATACTTGCAAAAGTGGAGTGTGCCTGTCCCTCATTCCTTGTATTTTTTAATAGTATCCATTTCAGATCATTTTCAGTAAGGCACAGGAATTGTGGTTTTCCAGTGTAGCTTGGATAAGAAGTACTCTTAAAATAAGAAGTCCCATTACAGAATGTTCTGGGAAGAGGGCGCTTGCTTCCTTATTCTGCCATATTTCCTTGTTTAGTTACAGTAAATAACTTACATCTTTTGCTTTAATTACAATCAGTTCTGTAATAACTGATACAATCCATGGGCTTCTTGTACTCTACTAATTGATACTCATTGTATGCAAATTACATTACAAACTTGAGCAAGTGGAAAGCTGTAAATACGGGCTTTTAGAGTAAGCCAACTAGTAGTGACTGCCCTAAAACACAAAATATGCACATTGAAAAAGGAAGTGACCTCTGACTGCCCAGCATGGAAGCAGTGACACCAGAAATGTGAAAGAGCAGCAGTTTGGCTTTTGGTTAGCCAAGTTTCAGTGTTGTTATTTCTAGGTTTATAGACTAAAAACAGTGTTCTTTTTCCTGTGTAGTATAAGAGACTTTGTATAGAATAATTTATTCTAAAAGTGCCAATATTAGAATATTCAGTAAGGACCTACAATTTTGTTTTATCTGACATCTATTTATTATGATTCAAAATGTTAAGCAGATGAAGTATAATTACTTTAATAATATGAAACTGTTATCTTGAAATGGCAACCCTGATACTCATCGGTTTCTACAGTGGCTGTGGCCTTTTAGCTTTGGGCCTTGTTTTCAAGCACACTGTGTTAGTCTGCTTCATAATCTACTTGGTTCTGAATGCCAAAAGAAATGTGGCCCCTGCTGTGAAGCAGCCTTTCCCACATCACTGTGTAGGTGTACTGCCCCCCACAGTCTGGCTGTTTCTGCCATCAAGGAGCAGTACTACAATTAGAAAATACTTCTCTGGTCAAAAATGTTGTCTACTTAAACTTCTTTTTCTCTAATCCCCACCTCCCAAAAAATTTTTTTATGTGAGACCTATTCCAAAATTGTAATATATAATCTCAAATAGGAAAAATAAACAAGGAACTTTTCCAAGAAAATAGTTCTCTGTCAATCCAGTACTTTGAATTGGTTTTTCATCTCTCTTTTCAGTTCTTAAGTATTAACTGACAAACACATGTGCATTTTAGGATTTGTTCCAACAACTCCTCCAGTAGCCACTTCTGACAAATCAGGAGGTATGCCTCTTGCTGGTACCTCTTGGATGTGTAGTATTTCCCTACTGACTTGTGTGTGGGCGGGAGGGGGTGGGGGGCCGTATTTTTAAGAGAATATTTTAGTTGCCAGTCCTTATTTCCAGCAAAGTAAAAAGGAAGCAGTTGTATCAAGTACTGGGTGCAGATACTCACTTGGCTTTCACGTTTACCCTTGCTGGTGCTCGGCATCTGTATGCCAGTCTTTAGGTCTGTCTTATTAATGCTCAGTCATGTGCTCTGCCATTTAAGAGCCCAGGGCTGAGCCAGGCAGCACAGCCAGGTGCTGACTGGGGATTAGCGATTTGGGAAGGAATAATATGTATAGTCTGTGCCTGCTATGTAGACTCGCAGGTATGTGTTTGGGTTTCACAGTTACCTGTTTAGCTAAAGCATCTCATGTTGGTCTGTGCTCTCCTCCTGTTCTGCTGGGCACCCTTGGCTTCTTTACCCTCTGTTGTGTGAAGACGCAATATGCATCTCATTTATAAGTTCTTAGAAAAATCCCTCCCTTCTTTCCAACCTAAACGTACGTGACTAAACCTAATGTGGCCATCAGAATGTTTCTTTGCTTCAGTAGTCTCCTCCTAGTAGTCACTCTCTAGCCATCCAACAGCTTGTGCTGGTGGTTGCCCAGTCCACATCTGTCCACAAGACTTCCTTGAGGTTCTTAGTGCATCGTGCCAGTGAGGCTTCCTTGGCGTGCTTAGGCTGGGGTAACAGTGTGAATCAAAGCTGAGTTCTCTTTTATCTTCCATGTCTTGTTTCTTAAATCAAAGCATGTATCTTTGGGATTTATTGAACTGGGTTTTTGAAAGGTGAAAGAGGCCGAGTCTTAAAGCAGGTTTTAGGCCTTCCCATTCACTAGTTAGACGTTATACGTGAGGTGACTTTAGTTCATCCAGTCACAAGATGATTCCTAGTCCTTGGGCATCTGTCCTCTTTGTTAAAGCTACATAGGGAACGTTTTCATAAAGAATTTCATAAAAATGATTTCTTGGTATTATTTCTTACCTCATCATGATGCCTGGATCATTAGAGTGTGTAAAGCTTGGAGAAGATTCTTCAGTTTGTCCAAGGACTTGTCGTTGGCATTGTATTTGCTGTTCGCCATTTGGAAACTTCTCTTTGAATGACCATGCAGAGCTTGCAGCCCTACCCTCTTGGTCCATGAGCTGACCATCATACGATCATCAGAGCAATCTGGTTTTGGGTGCAGAAAGACCCATAGTTGTGTGTCTTTGATGCCTTTGGGACTCTGCACAGTCATTTCATTTCTCTGAACTTCAATTTCCAGCCTGTAAATGAGTTAATAAGATTGCTATGAGGAGTTGGTAAATGAACACTTCTAGCAGGTAGAAGACCCTTCATACATTTCTGTCTTAAGATTGCTCTGGAGGCCCCTTGGTAGAGACCTGTGGTTTCAAGCTGGCTCTCTTTTTGGCTCCTCTTTTGAGCTTGTACTCACAGAGCCTGGATGAGACAGAGGCTCTGTCTGATCCCTGAGCTAGTTCGCTAGCTCAGGGCCACACAGCTAAGTGGTAAAGTTAGCCATTTAGTCGTGGTTTAGTTCTGAGTCTCATGCTGTTTGCCTTTACTTGGAATAGTTTGCTCATTAGCTGCTGCTTTTCTGTAACATTACTAAGAATAGTATTCTACTGTATGCTGGAAATGTACTTGACCACTTCTGTGTGAGTCAAATGAATTTTATATTTAAAACTGAGGGGAAAACATTGCAGGATTTGGAGATTGAACTGTTTTGGCGGTACTAGGGTTTGAACTTGGCCTTGTGCTTGCTAGGAAAGCGGTTTACCACTCGAGCCACTCCTCCAGCCCAGGGCTTGGAAATTGAAGGAGACTTTTTGCTAAACAAGCTAATCTATTGCTCTTTATGTGAATTATTCTTCTATTTTGCTGTCTGCATTTGATAGATGAGATTACAAAGGAACGAATTAGTGCTGCTTATAGTGTTGGATATCAGCAGATACCACTTCTAAAATGCTGTGCACCCTTCTGAATATTGTTTATGTAAGTAGCAGTTTTATTTGACAGAATGCTCTCTTTTTATTATTTGTAATATAGTCTCCATCTGCCCATTTCTTAGAAGGCTATTCTTAAGGACTTAATTTTAAGAAAGCAAAAGAAAAATCTTACTCCTAATTTTGGTCGGAACCAATATATATGATCCCCCTCCCCCCAAAAAAAGCAGACTATATTGACGTGAAACTAGAGCACATGTAAAGGATGTAACATACTCACTTGATGTAAACTTATTGTAGTAATTAATCTTCAGTCGTTCTTTGAAATCAAATGCAGAAGAAGGATCTAGATGGTGCCTGTCCCAGGCAAGTCTTCAGGAGCCGGCAGCCGCCACTTTCTGCCTCTGAGTCATGGGAAACAGTCTTGTCTTGAAGTGATCATATCTTGGCTTCCAGTTTCCTTCTGGGGGACCCTGGTTTCCTGGCCCCAGCAAGCCCATTTGTTCACCAGTAAAATGAGTGTCCCATCTCTTTCCAGGATGGTAGTCAGGAGTAAGGGTGTGGCTAGGTGAATTGAGCAGCACAGGGCCTTAGGCCTGTAGTGGCTCAGTAAGTCTCACAATACTTACTTTTACTGTAAGGCAGAAAGAAGTTTCTTCAGAGTGGCTGTTTATAATGTTCTCTAAGAAAAGGAAAGCAGGTACTTAATTCAATGTTATTCTGATCAAGGTAATGAAAGTTTTAGGAATTTGGCAGGAAATTAAGTAAAAAGTCCTTTGTTCTATGGGCCACGCAGAGAAGTTGTGAGAAACGGGTCACCCTAGCAGGAAAGCCAGCTGGCCAGTTGTGATTTTCTTGTTTTGTTTTTAAAAAGGCTGTCAGAAGGCCCCATTTACTTGGGGGAGCTTGCTTTCGAAGGCTGGACTGAGTTACGAGCTTCTTCCCCTCCTGTCCTCTCAGCAGGTATTCCCAGATTTTCTTCAGGGAGGTGGTGTGTATATATCCAGTCTCTTTATGGGCTTTATTTTGTTAAGACCTCACAGAGAAGTTACAGGAGTAGGATAAGGCACTCCTGGCACCCTTTATAGCCCTCATCCGGCATTTGTGTACATGGTGGCTTTTGTACTTTGCCCTTGTCTCTCTTTTTGTTGTTTCACACATGCTTGTTTTTCCTAGATTGACAGTGGG